TAACCCTGCCTAAATACTAGTACGGCTCATGCACAAGGGTTTTTGACGTACTAGTACGCCTAAATTCTAGCGCCCTCAGATCTAGTGAGAGAAAGCTGGTAGGCCTACATATGAAAGAATGGGTTTATGTGGTCAGTGTGTGCAGTATAAAAAAAAATCCTGCAGCACACAGTGCGTAATAAGAAAAAAAAAACTTTGACAGTGTTTTTGGTTTAAAACAGTGACTTTGCACTGTATTTTTGTATGGTATTTATGATGGTATTCTAGTTTTCCTGGTCTCATTTTATAGAATGAAGACATATTACAGAAACTGAGATGATTTTGATTGGTTTTACTATGAAAAGTACCTTGAAATTGAGCTCAAATTAACAGAAATCTTTGATTTTTGCCAAAGTTCAAAAGTAAACAAATCATGCTATGCGTCAACTGGTGAGTCTAATATTCTTTCACAAGTGCACTGATATTATTTATACCATTTCTACACTAATGCAGTAGTCTGCATAACAGTAAATCTTCTATTTTTTGTGAGAATAAAAATTCAAAGTGGAAAGCAAAAGAATGTAAGAGGGGTGTGGGGACATGACTAATGAACAGAGGAAATGTTATTTTAGTGCCAGGAATGTCTTTCTTGTTTATTCTGGACCCTATTTGGAAATTGGCAGAATTGCTAAATTCTTAACACTTTATTGGATAGTTGAAATCGGTAAACAATTGGTTTCTTGTACTCATTCGATAGAAAAAACGGAGTTCTAGCAAAATAGTTATGATTTTTATTGACTAGTACACTGGAATTGGCCAAAAATAGGGCTCACAGTGGGCAATATCGCCAATGCGTAAACATCGTTGAGACCGCTAACTTTGCAAGAGCGTAATTCCGTAAGTTTTCCATCAAATTTCATACTTTTGGTGTCATTATGATCGGGAAAAGATTCTCTATCTTTTCATAAGAAAAAATAATTTTTTTTTTTTTTTTGAAAATTTGTCGACCCTGAGAACAAGTCTGGGAGAGGGCCTGTCGACCCTGAAAGGGTTAATTTAGGGAACTGGAGCACATATCCAATGCCATAGATCGAGCCCATCACCACGTACATACTACTACTAATAATAATAATAAATATTATAACTTCAAAAGGCTGTCAGTAGTTGGCACCACCATGAGCAAAACATTGGTAACCACTACTAGTGTCCCCCTCTGTAATTAGTATTTTATTACATGTAAACCACACAATAACCAAAATCTGTAAACCCCACATTGTAATCCTTATAGAGAATAAACTTTGATTTGATTGACTAGTACACTTTTCACCTGTCTAGATTTAAGCAGTCTATTAGTACGGTGGAACCTCAAATATCGAACATATTGTTTATCGAACTCTTCGAAAATCAACCGCTTTTTTCGAACCAACTTTGTCCCTATTATCAAACTCACCCCTTCTTTCAAACCGCTGGGTACCAGACCTGTCCACCAGCCCACTCTGTCCATGTCCCCGCACAGGCGCCATGAGCCAGTCTGGCTTTGTTGATGCTTAAGTGAACACTAACCTGCGGTCTCATTCAAACATTTTACGATTAATTCATTGTGTTTAGTGCTTGTGGGACTGTGAAATAAGTTACCATGGGCCCAAAGAAACTTGTTAGTGGTACCCCTGAGGTAAAGAAAGTGAGAAACACCATAGATGTGAAGAAGGAAATAATACAGAAGTATACAAAGGACTGTGGACAGTTATTTTGTGAGACAGGGGTCCAGTGACTCAAGCTGGTCCTAGTGGCATTAAAAGACAGAGAAGGGAAGTAACCCTAGAGAGGGCTTTGATACCTAAAGTCTTTATGGAGGGGGATTCCCCTTCCAAACAATAACCCCTCTCTCCTCCTCCCTATTTTCCAGATGCCATCACCAATCTTCAGTAAAGGTAAGTAAAAATGTTATATGTTTATTTAAATTTATTAATAATTGTACACTATTTGTTGTGTGTATGTAAAACTATAATGTAATACTATCTATAAAATGTATTTTTTTGTGAATATTTTTGGGTTTCTGGAACAGATTAATTGTATTTACATTATTTCTTATGGGAAATATTGCTTCGCCTTTCAAACTTTTTGACTTTAGAACTAGCTCCTGGAACGGATTAAGTTCGAAATTTGAGGTTCCACTGTATTAGGTTAAGTCTGCCCGAAATGCCTCGGTATGATAGTAGCTTTCTTTGTTCCAATCATATTATGATATGTAAACACACATTGTAACCTTTGCAAAGAAATAAATATTTTATTTATTAATTTATTTAAGGAACCTCACTTGAGGGGGCAAGTTCGTATTCTGAAATTTCGTTCGTACCCAGAAGCAAAAAATTGACCGAATGATGGTTCGCATCCTGAAAAATTTGCATGGTGGGGCATTCGTAAGCCGATGTTCCACTGTACTAGCACTTATATGACTAGTATTAACCCTTAAACTGTCCAAGCAGATCTATGTTCACATACATAGTGCTCCAAAAGTAGATTTATGGTTTTTTTACATATTTTCAAATATAAAAAAAAAAAAAAGTAGATCCAAGTTTTTTTTACATGTTTTCAAATGTAAAAAAAGAAAAGATCTGCTTTTTTTTTACATACTTTCAAATGTTGAAAAAACATAGATCTACGTTTGGACAGTTTAAGGGTTAATAACCCACAGAACGGGTGGGTCTTGAACCCATGGCAGGTGAGTCCTAGAACCCATAGGTCATTGTGCTATCTACTCAGCCAGCTGGCTCTAATAAGATTCATCCAACCATGTATATTTCTATTCACTATAAGGTGTTTGCAATCATGTTATGATTTTGTGATGCTAGTATTGGTAGTACTGTTACAGGTACTAATGGTACAAGAACTAGTACTGTACCAGAACTAGTACTGGTACATGTACTAATCATACCAGTACAAGTATTAGTAGTACTAGGACAAGTCTTCCAGTGGGCCTTTGAAAATTGTGATGCTCAGTGGGCACAAGTTTCACTTACTCCATTATGGAAAACCTGAAGAAATAAAAGCCAGAACAGTTTAAAAAAACAAATTCTGACACACAATAGAGTAAAAATTAATGTGTAGGATTTAGGAGTGATAATGTCAGAAGCTTTCACCTTCAAGGACCACAACTGAGAGGAAAAGGATGCCAAGTCAGTGATGATCCTCTTGGTCATGTGTTCTCTCTAGCATGGAATTCTACTGTACACTAATGCTCATTTTTAAGGCAGGCAAACTTGCAGATCTAGAGAATATACAGAGAAGTTTTACTGCATGTGTAAGTTTTATCAAGCACCTTAATTACTTGAAACATTTTAAGTCCCTTGACCTGTACTCCTTTTAATGCAGGTGGGAAAGACATAATTTACACCTGAAAAATTGTAGGGGAACTGCCCCCCAAATCTGCACACAAATTGATCCTTGCAAAAGCACAAGGCTCAGATGATGCAGTATGCTGCAATGAAGAGCATGGGTGCCATGAATATATTGAGACAACACTATAACTTTAAGGGTCACAAGACTATTCAACAGCTTCCCATCATACATAAGGGGGGATTACCAGTAGACCCCTAGTTGTCTTCAAAAAGAAGCTGGAAAGCTCTACTGACCAGCCAGGCTGTAGTTGTTGGACTGCATGCACCAGTAGTAACAGCCTGGTTGATCAAGCCCTCATTCACTGGGAGGTGTGGTCATGGACCGGGCTGTGGGGGTGGTCATCCTTGGAACACTCAAGGTTGACTTCAGGTAGTGCAAGTACTAGTACACTAGTAGTACTACCACCGGTATTTGTACAAGTACTATTTGCACTACTGGTAGTACCAGTTCTGCTAGAATAGTGGTAGTACCAGTACTACCAATACTTCTGATACCACTAGTAGTAGTAGTAGCACTATTACTACAGTACCTTCTTTTCCTCTCTTTCTAAATTGTCTTTTGGTCTAATATACCTTTTCTCACTCAGTTGTGGCTTATAATAAATTTAAGCCCTAAACCCAAAAGGGTCATATAGTGCTGCAAGGAGGGATGTATGAAAGAGTACGAGAGTGTGTGTGTGAAGGGCAGAGGATAATGAAGGTAGGGGAGAGAGCAAGATAATATTTAAATATAAGTTTGTGCGATATGTTAGTTTGTCAAAAAGTCAGTGTGTGTCTGTCAAAGGTGGGACTTTCAGTGAGAGTGTTGGGGCAGTGGAAATGTCGGAAGTAAATTTTACCTACCTGCTGATAAACACGACACACTATTAAGATGCGTTTGATAAACATTTGTGATCCAACTCGCACCAATGTTGCCAGCAGTTGGGGAGTTGAGAGTTTGCTGAAAAATAGTCTGAGACAGTAATACACATGTGGGAAATCATGTGCCTTGATAAATGTTTAGGACAGTGAAAAAGTGTATATTTCCTGTATGTGTTTGGGGGGTGGGGGATATCGCACAAATTGTTCCAGCCACAGTATTGTGATATATTTTTCAGTCACACTTAAGACTGTCAAAAGGTATAAAAAAAATTGGTAAGGATACTTGCCTAGAAACATCATCAAGTAGAACTAGAGGCCATTGCTATTATGTAAAAGAAAAAGTGCCAAATGAACACTGGAAACTTGAAAAAAGAAATGGTAAATACTGGAGAGGGGTTAATCTTCGGGTTATGATTTATATTGTATTGTAAGATAAGATTTCTAGATTAATGTTTAAGTAATAATGGTACTTACCATGTTAGAATGTGTGTTGCAGTTAATTACTGAAATACAGTGGACCCCCGGCTTATAATATTATTTCATTCCAGAAGTATGTTCAGGTGCCATTACTGAACAAATTTGCTCCCATAAGGAATATTGTGAATTAGATTAGTCCATTTCAGACCCCCAAACATACACGTACAAATGCACTTACATAAATACACTTACATAATTGGTCGCATTGGGAGCTGATCGTAAAGCGGGGGTCCACTGTATACTGTGTTAAAAGAAAGCAGATTTTTAACTAAATTTCTTATCCAGCAGTTGATTTAGAAACCATTACTGAGAGAGAGCCCGTGCAGCAAACCCTACCACATTCTAGACCGCCATTGCGCAGACAGAACGCAATTGACATTGCTAGTGAAGATTCCTTAGATGTGGATCCTGCATACAGTGCAGGTGGAGATGCCACAAATGGTGATGCTGTTGTGACACTTGATGTCGTAAGTGGTGATGGTGTCATAAGTAGTGATGATGCTGTAAGTGTGTATCTAATAAGTGGTGATAGTGTCATTAGTGGTGATATTGGTGTAAATAGTCATACTGCTGGCAGCACTAGCACTGCAGCTGTAGTAAGCAGTAATGATACCACTGGCACAGCCGTTCCTAGCACCAGTGATGTTGCTAGAAACTGCGATGTTGCCATAATATATAATACTGCCATGACTAGTAATGATAAAAGTGATGCAGCAGTAAGTTGTGAGGCTCCCGTGTGCAGTGATATTACCATTTGCAATGAAGCTTCTGCATGTGCTGATATTTTGGCATTTAGTGATGCCCGTGTAAATGGAGAAGCTGCTTTAAGTATTGATGATGCCTTAAGTGATATTGCAATGATTGATGATGATGTAAGTTGTGATGGTATCACAAATAATAGTTTTGCTGTAAATGCTAATACTGTTCAGTCATAAGAAGTGATGTTCCAGGAAGCTGTTATCCTAATGTGAGAAATGGTGCTTTGTGAAGTGACTGAAACATGGTGCTGTGTGAAGTGACTGTGTGAAACATGGTGCTGTGTGAAGTGACTGTGTGGAAATGGTGTTAGCCAAGTCTTTCAAAGAATACATAGGTAAGTAAATGTCTGAATGTGTATGCTAGAAATGTATAGCATTTCTAATCAGGAATATTCACAACTGTATAGTAGACAAGACTGGTCTTGGTAAATAGAACATTTGCATTCTTGAGTGATAACAGTATATAAATTTGTCTTAAAATGTGCACCAGTTTTATAAAGGAGATCTGATAAGTGCTGAATGTATGTGCAAAGAAAAAAACACTAGGTAGTCACAGAGGGAGGCAGCCTGTTCATTCCCCATTTCCTCCCTTTCATGATAATCTTTTCTAATTGCAGTATATAATGAATGATGTCTTAAGAGTGTTTGGTGAGATGTTAAAAATATGAATATCAGAAGAACAAAACTTTAGGACTTAATGTACTTTACTCCATTTCTCAACTTTCTGTGCCCTCTTTCAACAAAGTGCCAAGTATAACTGTTTGATACCATGTAGTATATAACTATTGTAACTAATGTATTTTCTTGAGAAATATTTATTACTTCATATGTTGATTTTATTAATGAAAAAGTGCTTAACCAGTTCATCATAATGACAAATGTTGGGTTCTTTCCTTGAACTCTGCTTGTAAAAACCATATATTCTCAGGCACTATACACAGAACTTTCTCTATTGTACCTCTTCCCCACCATGTAAAAGTAATCCAGTTTTGGGGACTGAAACAAATGAATAAAGCTGTATTCGTAAAACAATTTTTTTTCCATTACATTATCTCTAGGCATTGCTCATTGTCTTAAGAGCTATTTATTCCATTAAAGAAGATGATAACAAATAAGCCTTTTTTTGTTTATCTGAATTACCATATATGTACTAATTGGCAGATAATTACTGTAAAAAGTAGGGATGGAATAATACTAAGTTTTTGCTGATACCACTAATATTGATAACTTGGCACACCACTAGTAAAGGTCTCTACATTTTGTATTATGTACACTTTCTCTTAAAATTGTGTGTAGTGTTTTATGTATACCATTAACTGACCATCTTATTTGTATAAAAAGTCCAACAATGCTACAAGTATTAAATGAAGATTTTTTACATTAGCTTTGTTATACAAGATAGTATTTCTCAATAAAATTTCACTAATATTTTGAATGATCTATTATTCAGGCAGTGGGAGGAAAGTGCATTTGTTTGTGGTGCAGAAGCTATTTCATGAATTTGTCCTAAAATGGATATAATCAGTAAAGATTTTATTAGTCCAATTTTCACCACTTGTTAGAAATGCTACTTTCATTCATACTCTTGTATTTCTGTTGATGTACTCAAGAGACCAAGCTGGAGCTGGAAGAGGTAGGTGCACTTTGGAAATATGGCACTATATCAGTGTGGCTACTTTATTTTGGACATTGTCCTTAATGAAATATCCACATTGCTCTTGTGTCTACTGTAGTTTGTTGGTACCATCAAATTATGCTCACCAAGGTGGCTTCCTATCATAACAGTCAGGCTTATTGGCCAGTAATCTGGTGATAATGATTTGAAGATAATTACATTTTATACTTAAGAATTTATACTTCACTTCAGCTGGTAAGTTTCCAAACAAATTGGTTAATTTTAGGCTTGATCACTCTTTACTTAAGTGACGCTTTCTTAGATAAAATTCAGTGCAAAAGAAACTGCATAATTTGTATACAGAGGGCCCTCGGTTATTGGCCGTAATCCATTCCAGAAGATCGGCCTAAAACCGAAATACATATTTCCCACAAAAATTAATGCAACTCCAGTTAATTTGTTTCAGACACCCAAAAATATTAACAAAAAATAAATTTTTTTAAAGATTAACTATAGTTTTACATAAAGAAAACAATGAGAACTAAATAAAATGACTAATGAAATGGATAAATGAGCATTTAAATCACTTTTACCTTTATTGAACAGTCTTGTTGGCATATGCAAAATGGCGAGAGGGAGGCGAGTTTATTGTTTGGACACAGGACAAAATGCTTAAATATGACAATATTATCAACTCCACGGCTTATTTATCTATCACAATTCATCTAATATGACATAATAAACAATATTAATAACATAGAAATATGATATATACTCTAGAATGAATAACATATGCCATTACGTATATGAGGACTGGTGATGGTGGTGTTGGGTTATAAGGGCCACTGACAGCATAAGCCGTACATATAGTGGTGGTGGCGGCGGCTCTGCTACCACTACTATTCACACTGAAACAATGTACGTAATTTTTAAATAAGAAATATTTACACTAACTGTACCTTGGAGGAGATGCTGGCATTGGTTTGGGGTGGTGAAAGATAGGCAGGGCAGCATATATTGTCAGTGACCCTATGTATCTCCAACAACATTGGAGGAATCAGTTTCATGTTGTCTTTTTTCTCTTGCTTAATCACTTAACTTAATTCCTACACTTTATCGCTGGCTGGTGCTGCTTTAGTATCGTACATATTGTAGAATCACTAAAGAAGGCACATTCTCCCCTCTCTCTTCCTCCTTCACTTTCATACTTTGCTACTGGTGGACACGGTCAATAACCGAAATAATGGCCCATAACCAGGATAAAATTTTGGTCAAAAAACCAGGTGATAACCGAATTGGCCGATATCTGGAACGGCCAATAACCGAAGGTTCACTGTACTATAAGAAAATTCACATAGATATGCCTCACTAGAAAGTGAAGATGTACTGTACTTTCTCAAAAAAAGATTAACGCACATATGCAAGATTTGCTTGCTTAGAATGCAATCTTGCATTACATTGGTACTTAACCCTTTCAGGGTCAGTGTCGTACTAGTACGGCTTGCACACCAGGGTTGGTGCCGTACTAATACACGTAAATTCTAGTGCCTTCAAATCTAGCGAGAGAAAGCTGGTAGGCCTACATATGAAAGAATAGGTCTGTGGTCAGTGTGCACAGTATAAAAAAAATCCTGCAGCACACAGTGCATAATGAGAAAAAAAAACTCCAACCATAAATACCACATGAAAATACACTTTGCAGTGTATTTTCGTATGGTATTTATGTTTGTATTCTTATTTTCCTGGTCTCATTTTATAGAATGGAAGACATATTACAGAAAAAGGGGAACAAAAAAGGGGGGTTAAAAAAAAAAAATTTTAAATTTTTTTAAAATTTTTTTGGGGGGGTTGGGGGGGAAATTTTTTGGACAAACTTTTTTAAAAAAAAAAAAATTTTCCCCTTTTTCAAAAAAAAAGGGGAAAAAAAATTTAAAAAAGGAAAATTTTAAACCCCAAAAAAAAGGGGGGGTTAAAAACCCCCCCCGGGGGGGGGGAAAAGGGGGGGGGTTAAAATTAATTTTTTTTGGGGGGGCCCCCAAAAAAATAAAAAGGGGAAAAAAAAAAAATTTTATTTAAAAAAGGGGGATCCCCCGGGGTTTGGGTTAAAAAAAGGGGGGCCCAGCTTTTTTCCCCTATTTCCCAAAAAATTTAATTTTTTTCCCCCCCCAACCCCCAATTTAACCCCCCCTTTTGGGGGGGGGGTTTTTTAAAAAACCGGGTAAAAAAAAAAAAATTTTTCCCCCCCCCCGGGGGAAAAAACCCCGGGAAGGGGGGAAAAGAAAATTTTCCCCCCAAAAAGGGGGTAAAAAAGGGGGGAAAAAAAAGGGGGGGGGGAAAAAAAACCATTTTTTCCCGGGTAAAAAAAAAATTTTTAAAAAGGGAAGAAAGCCCAAAAAAAATTTTAAAAAAAAAAGGGGGGGGGTTTTTTTTTAAAAAAAAAAGGGGGGGGAAAACCCCTTTTGGGGGGGGTTTTTAAAAAAAACCCCCCCAAAAGGGTTGGGGGGTTTAAAAAAATTTTTTTTTAAAAAAAAAAAAAAAAAGGGGGCCCCAAAAAAAGGGGGGGGAAAAAAAAAATTTTTAAAAAAATTTTTAAAAACCCCCCCGGGGGGGAAAAAAAAAAAAAAAAAAAATTTTTTTGGGAAAAAAAAAAAGGTTTTTTTTTTTTTAAAAAAAAAAAAAAAAAAATTAAAAAAGGGGGTTTTTTTTTTTTTAAAAAAAAAAAAGGGGGAAAAAAAAAATTTTTTTCCCCCCCCTTTTTAAAAAAATTTTTTAAAAAAAAAAATTTGGGGGGAAAAAAACCCCCCGGGGTAAAAAATTTTTTTTCCCCCGGGGGGGGGAAAAAAAAAAAAATTTTTTTTTGGAAAAAAAAAAAAAAAAAAAAAAGGGGGGGGGGGGAAAAAAAAAAAAAATTTTTTAAAAAGGGTTTTTTTTTTAACCCTGGGGTTTTTTTTTTTTTTTTTAAAAAAAAATATTGGAAAGGGGGAAAAAGGGGGTTTTTTTTTAAAAAAAATTTTTTGGGGGGGGGGGGGTTTTTTTTTTGGGGGAAGGGGGGGGGGGGGAAAAAAGGGAAAAATTTTTGGGAAAAAAAAAAAAAAGGGGGGGGGTTGTGGAAAAAAAAAAAGGGGGGGAAAATTCCATTTTTTTTCCCCCCGGGGGGGGGGGGGGAAAAAATTTTGGGGGGGGGGGAAAGGAAAGGAAAAAGGGGGGAAAAAAAAATTTTTGGGGGAAAGGAAAAAAAACCGGGGCCCCCCCGGGGGGGAAAAGGGGGCCGGGGTTTTTTTTGGGGGGGAAAAAAAAAAGGGGGGGAAAAAAACCGAAAAAAATAAAAGAAAATTTAAAAAAGGGCCAAGGGGGGGAAAAAATTTCCCCCCCGGGGAAAAAAAGTTTTTTTTTTTTTAAAAAGGGTTTAAAAGGGGGGGTTTGGAAAAAAATTTTTTTAAAAAAAAAAAAAAAAAAAAATTTTTAACCTTTTTAAAAAAGGGGAAATTTTTGGGGTTTTAGAAAAAAAGGGGGGTTTTCCCCCAAAAAAATTTTTTTTAAAAAAATTTTAAAAATTTTTTTAAATTTTAAAAAAAAAAAAAAACCCCCTTTTTAAAAACCCCTTTAAAAAAATTTTTAAAACCCCCCCGGGGGGAAAAGGACAAATTTAAAAAAAAAAACCCGGGTTTTTTTTTAAAAAGGGGGAATTCCAAAAGGGGGAAAACCCCCCCCCCCCAAAAAACTCCCAAAAAAAAACCCCCCCGGGGGGGGTTTTTTTAAAGGGGGGGCCTTTTGGGTCCCCCCCGGGGGGGGGGGGGCCCCCCTTTGGGGAAAAAAAAAACCCCCCCCCTTTTCCGGGGGGCCTTTTTCCCCCCGGGGGGAAAAAAAAGGGGGGGTTTTTCCCCCCCCCCCCGGAGGGGGGGGGTTTTTTGGGGGTTTTTTTAAAAGGGGGGTTTAAAAAACCCCCTTTTTTTTTGGGGGGGGGGGGGCCCCCGGGGGGGTTTTCCCCCCGGGCCCCCGGGGGAAACCGGGGAAAAAAAAGGGGGATTTAAAAAAATTTTGGGGGGCCCCCCGGGGGCCCGGGGGGGTGAAAAAAAAAAGGGGGGCCCCCGGGGTTTTTAAAAAAAAAAATTTTTTTTTTCCCTTTTAAACCCCGGGGTTTTGGTTTTTTTTTTTAAACCCCCCAAAAAAAAAAAAATTTTTTTTGTTTTTAAAAAAAAAAGGGAAAAAAAAATTTTTTTTAAAAAAAAAAAGGGGGGGGGGGAAAAAAACCTTTTTGGGGGGGGTTTTTTTTGGGGGGCCCCCGGGGGTGGGGGGGGAACCACCCCCCTCCCGGGGGAAAAAAATTTTTTAAAACCCCCCAACCCCCCCCCCCTTTTTTTTGGGGGGCCCCGGGGTTTTTAAAAAGAACCCCCCCCCCAAAAAAATTTTTTCCCCCCCCGGGAAAAAAAAAAAAACCCCTGGGGAGGGGGGGAAATTTTTCCCCCCCGGGAAATTCCCCCCCAAAAAGGGCCCCAAAAAAACCCCCCGGTGTCCCCCCCAAAAAACCGGGGGGGAAAAAAAAAAAAAAA